ATCTGGGGGATGAGGGGTGAGCAGAATGAGTCCCGCCCTGCCCTCGACACTTCCCATTGTGTGAACCTGGGACACTGTTTGGCTCCTGACTGCTCTCTGCCATTTTGAGGCCTGGCATGGTCCAGGAACCATTCCCAACTCCCCTTCTAGCCGTAGTCCTCCCAGCTGGCCTGATGCCCCCAGTGCCAGCCTGTCCAGGATGGAGCCATTTCCAGAGCAGGGGTCATCCCACTGCTTTCACCAAGCAGGACCCTGCGGGGTTCTCCCTGATCCCAGTCCCCCTGGGGCCTCCAGGCACATCCCCCAAGCTGGGCTCAGAGTCAGAAGAAACATCAGTCTGGCAGGGCTACAAAGTCACTGCCACTGTGGGATCTGCAGCAACCCTGACTGAGCACTCCTTTCTAAGTTTACATACCCACCTGCTGGCTTTGTGAACCCTGTGAAACGCCATCTTGGTGTGATACGGCAGCTAAGAAAAAAATTATTATTCAATCTTGAGTGGCACTAAAAATGTCAGGGCTTAGATCTGGGAAGACAGAGCTCCCTGGAGGCAGGAATAGTCAGGCCTCGCATGGGAATGGGGCACTGGCAGCCACCCCCATCCCACCAGGGCTACTGTGGCCAGACACCAAGGATCCCTCCCCAGCACCATCTCATGTCCTTCCTAAGGTTACCCTGTGAGGCTGGATGAAGACTCACCCCACTGCCCAGATGAGGCTCAGCAGAGTCCTGGAATGCCTGGAGCCCAGCTAGAAGGAAAGGGCCTGGACTTGGCCACTGGTCACAAGCTCCAGGAGACAGGGACCCATCTGCCTGTGTAGAGATGTGTCTCTACCAGCCACCCAGGGCTAAGGGTGGCAGAGACACTGAGCAAATGCCGATGAGGGATGGAAAATGACTGAACCCAGATCCTGGGCTCACCAGGCCCTAAAGAGGCACAGATGGCGAGAGCAGGCGTCATGCAGGGAAACAGGAGAGGGAAAAGAGTCAGCTATGAAGACAATCTCATAAAATGGGGCAGGGCTGTCTCTGAGTCCTCCTGTCCAGGTGTGAGACCTGCATCCAACCCAACAGAGCTATGTGCCCCAAAGTAACTGCCCCCCTATCCAAAAGAAACATCAGAATTGTGCCAGCTAAGGACAGAGGGTGACCCTGGACTGGACCCTGGAGCAAGAGAAAATGATCTGTTTGCTTATGTACCAAAATGACATTTCGGGGACAAGTGTGAAATCTGAATACAGTCTGCAGATTACATAATAGAAGGAAAGAAGGCGTGACAGTGAGAATGGTCTGGTTTCAAGATTTGTCTGTGGCTGTGTGTGAGGCTGGTCCTGCTCTTAAGAAACATATAGCGAGTATTTGGGTAAAGGGGCATCGGGTCTGCAACTTGCTCTCAAGTGGTTCAGAAAATAAAAGAGAGAGAGAGAGGGGGAGGGATGGAGGAAGAGAAGAGAATGATAAGGCAAACTCAGTAAAATGCTAACAACTGGAGAAATTAGGTGAAGGAATTCTTGTACTATTTTTGTACATCAGGAATTATTTGTTACACACAGAAAGTCCATATCCTAAAAGGAAAACGCCTGGGGTGCCATTCTCAAATCAGTGAGAGCAAACAGACTCAGCAGGGATGGCAACACACCTGCGTCAGCAGGAAACCAGCCGCCAGCGACTGGTGGGACAGCTGGGGAAGCATGATGATGCAGAGTGTTGGATGCCAGCACGGCATCCACTCTCCTGGGTGTGAAGGTCACATGAGCTCTGGCAAGACGACGTATGTGCTCTCTGGAGGTGCGCACTGCATTTGGGGGCGAAGGGTCAGGATGTCTACAACCGGCTCTCATGCAGCTGAGGAAAAGAAAATTACAGCAGAGAGAGAGACTGAGAGGCTCATGGGCTCTAAACGAGGGGCACACAGGGTCCGTGCCATTTTTCTCAAGGACACAGACATGCCTGCCCCTGCAGCCAAAGGCAATGAAGGAGTCTGTGCCCCAGCCTCTGCCGCTCAATCTCTCAGCTTTTCTCTCTCTGGCCACAAGATGTCTCTGTTTGGCCCTTTCTAGAAGGCAGTTTCCGTTCTTTAAAGTTCTTGAAGTTCATAAATGACCCACTGCCCTCTCTCTCTGACCCGCGGCTCCTTCTCCCACCCTGCATGAAGGCATGTGCTTCCCCTGCTGCATTTCCTGAGGTCACAGCCCACTCTGCCCACCACGTGGGAATTCCTCATGGGGGGGGGTCTCTGCTGCCCTCTGGTGGTTGTTGCTGAAAACACTGACAACCCCCCCCCNGTGGGGAGTGAGGGATGCCAGGCCTGGCTCGTGGCGACAACCCTCTAGGTTCTGCCCTGCTGTCATGGGGCTGTCTTCCCTGTGTGTGCCTCTGCTTCCTCTTCTTCTAAGACTCCAGTTATGGGACCAGAGCCATCTTGCTTTGCATCATACAGGCAAGACTCGCACAGTGACTAGTAGAGCCTCAGGGCGCTGGTCAGAGGCACCACCCGGGGAAGACGGGGAGGTGACATGCTCCAGTCAGGAAGAAGCCGAGGCACATGCATGCATCGCTCAGGACCCATCGGGAGCTCTCGGCTCCCATGCAAGGAGACAGCTGGAGTAATAAAGGGACCGTACAGAGGTGCGGGGGAGGGCAAGTGCCAGAACAGGTCCAGCCACAGTAGCGCTGTCGTTACCATGGGCCGGCAGACTAGGAACTGCCCTGGAGGCCACCCTGCCCTGTCGCTTTACTGCTGCACCAGGTACTTACATCTCCTAACAACAAGGCAAGGAAAGAGGGCCAGGATCCAGTTCTACAGGGGAGAAGACTGCTGTCCAGAGAGGTCAGGTGACTCGCCCCAGGTCACACAGCAGGGCTGGGGCCTGGGATCTGAATCTGTGTTTCCTGCTACTGCTACTGCTAAGTCACTTCAGTCGTGTCCGACTCTGTGCGACCCCATCCCTGGGATTCTCCAGGCAAGAACACTGGAGTGGGTTGCCATTTCCTTCTCCAATGCATCAAAGTGAAAAGTGAAAGTGAAGTCACTCAGTCATGTCCGACTCTTCGCGACCCCATGGACTGCAGCCTACCAGGCTCCTCCGTCCATGGGATTTTCCAGGCAAGAGTACTGGAGTGGGGTGCCATTGCTGACTCTAAAGTCCTCGCTTTCAAGATGTGGAGAAAAGGGAACCCTTGTACACTGCTGAAAGGAATGTAAATTGGTGCCGATACCAAGGAGAATAATATAGAGGTTTCTTAACAGAGCTACCATATGATCCTGCAATCCCACTCCTGGGCATATCTCTGGAGAAAACTACGATTCAAACACACACATGCACCACAGTGTTCACAGCAGTGCTATTAACAGTAACCAAGACGTGGAGGCAACATTAGTGTCCATCAACAGACGAATGGATGAAGACGATGTGGCACACACACACACACAGTGAAATATTACTCAGCCATAAAAATGAATGAAATAATGCCACTTGCAGCAACATGGACAGATCTAAAGACTATCATACTAAGTGAAGTAAACCAGATAGAGAAAGACAAATACCATATGATGTCACTTATATGTGGAATCTAAAATATGACACAAAGGAACTTATTTACAAAACAGAAACAGTCATAGGCATAGAAAACAAACTTATGGTTACTGAAAGGGAAAAGAGGGGAGGGGTAAATTAAGAGTTTGGGATTAACATATAAACATCACTTTATTTCTGAGCATCGAAGAATTGATGTTTTTGAACTGTAGTGTTGGAGAAGACTCTTGACAGTCTCATGAACTGCAAGGAGATGCAACCAGTCCATCCTAAAGGAAATCAGTCCTGAATGTTCATTGGAAGGACTGATGCTGAAGCTGAAACTCCCATACTTTGGCCACCTGATGCAAAGAACTGACTCATCAGATAAGACCCTGATGCTGGGAAAGACTGAAGGTGGGAGAAGGAGACGACAGAGGATGAAACCACTGGATGGCATCACTGACTCGATGGACATGAGTTTGAGTAAGCTCCGGGAGTTGGTGATGGACAGGGAAGCCTGGCATACTGCAGTCTGTGGGGCCGCCAAGAGTCAGACACGACTGAGCGACTGAACTGAACTGATAGCTGAATCACTCTGCAGTACACCAGAAACTAACATACCATTGTAAATCTACTATGTTTCAATAAAAATAAAGTCCTTACTTTCATATACATTTTTAAAAAGCTTGCTCTTCACTATGAAGACCTTCAGGCATATACAAGTGAACAGACTTGGGCAGTGGGTCCCCCATGGTAACAGTTACCAACATTCTGCTTTACTGCCTTCACCTCTTCCCGCCCAATCTATTACTGCTGTGGTTGTTAGCCTCATATTTCTTTAGGTAAAATGTAGATGCACTGAAATGCACAAATCTAACAATTAGCAAAATGTATTTTACTTAGTACAATTTAATGTGTGCTGTTGTATCCGTTTCTTTTTGTGTTATCTTTGTTTCCTTACTTTTCTAACAGTAAAAGTAAGTCCTCATAAAACTAAAAAGTCAGGTAACAAGCGGGAAACAAGCAGCAGAAACGAGGATTACCATATTTCAGACATACTTATGTCTCCCCTCCATTCAGCAGCAAGTCCTCAGGCCCCCCATTCCCTCGTGCTTTCTCACACCTCTCCTGAGCAGCCAGGTCTCTCAGGAGCCTGGGGAGGGCTGGGCAGCCTTCTCGTGGAAGGAGTCCCAGCAACAGAACCCGTGAACACAGCTAGGCCCAGGGCTGCATCCCAGGCCAGCAGCCCTAAATCCAGTCCCTGCACCTCTTGGGGAACCCTTACACTGCCAGGTCCACAAGAACCTCTGTCTTCACCACAGCAGGGGCCTCTCTGGGACCCTACCTGGGCCAGTGCACGGAAGGGTGAGGCCTCCTAACTCCGCCTGGGGAGGCTGGCCCCAGGAGAGGTTGCCCTGGTGACCAGCAGAGGCTCCTCCCAGGGTTACTGTGGGCAGCCACATTGCCCAGCAACCAAGTGGCAGCGTCCCTTGAGCCAGGACCACACAGCTGTGCCCAGCCCTGTGAGGCTTCTCCCAGCCCTGGGGGACCCCTGGGGCCCTGCCCTTATTCCCCAAGACCAGGACAGCAGCTGCCTCTGATCACAATGAACATCATTCTCTCCAGGTAAGCAGCTCTGCACTGGCCCCAGCCGAGAGGGAGCGGGGAGGTCAGGTTCTCAGGGCCAGATTAACTGGGACAGACAAGGCTGCCTGGACTGCCGAGGGGGTGGTGGTAAGGATGCTCTCCCGCCCATACCACACCCACCTCAAGGTCAAGGGACCATGGAGGCTTCCAGATTCTGGCTTCCATCTACTTCTCCAGCATTTTTGCCCACAGACCTGGGGTAGCTAAATTCACACGGTCCACTCCCACTTCTCTAGCTCATCTCTACCTGGGAAACCCCTTCATGTTTCAAAACCCCACCAGGCATCACCCCTTCTGTGGAACTGTTCCTAGTCACACTGCCTGCAGCCTGATTCGATCACTGCTTTCTCAACCTGCCTGTCCTTTAGCCAGCTGTTCCCACACCTGGCTCCTCTGGGGATTGCAAACTCTGGACCACCTGATGATATGTTTATTTACAAATGTAACCAACCCCTGGGCCTCACTCACAGGAAGTCTAGGTCACAAGCCTGGGGGAGGGTGGGCTGGGATTCTGCAGGCTTAACTTGTGCCCTAGGTGATTCTGATTGAGGGGATCGAAGGACTCCACCTGGAGGGACAGAGAATGCAGCCGGCTGTGTCACCTCTCTGGCCTCCATTTACCTTGCTTGCAGAGTCATGCACATGATGGGCACTGCACCAGTTAGGGTTTCTGAGGAGGACAAAAAGCCCTCCTCCCAGCTTCCAGCCTTAGAGATACAATTAGAGGAATGCACGGCTGGGAGGTTTGGTCAAACAGAGGCGGCTAGGGCAGCAACCAGCTGGGATGAGGGATGAGGAGAGGGTACAGTGGGGCGAGAGGGAGGCAAGGGTCTGAGGCTGTGCTACTCAGCTGTCTTGGGAAGACAAAATCCAGCAGGTCCTCACTCACTCTGTACTTCTTCATGGAACATCTTTGATGGGCAGGCCGTGGGCTAGCAGCACATAAAAGATGAGTCAGCAAGCCCTCGCCCCCAACCGCTCTGCACAACAGGAAGTGATAAGTACTGAAAAATGGTGCACCACAAGGACAAACAAGGTCCAGGGCTGGGAGAGGCAGGAGGGACCCAAGGGCAGAGCACGGGGCCTTTAGGGCAGTGAAACTTCTCTATGATGCTGTTATAGTTGGAGACAGGGCATTGAACATTTGTCAAAATCTATGATATGTATCACACCAAGAGGGAACCTTCATGTAAATGAGTGACTTTAGTTAATAAGGTATCACCACTGGTTCATCTTTTGTAACAGAGGTCCTGCTGGAAAGGAAGGCTGTTAATAATAGAGGAAGCCATGTGCTGGGGAACGGTTTGTGGGAACACTCTGTACTTTCCACTGTTTTTCTGTATACCTAAAACTATTTACCTCCCCCAAAAAGTTTATTAATTCCAAAAATAAAAAGCTTTATGATGCAGAGAAGGCAGAGAATTTCAACAGCTCAGGAAAAAGACAGAATCAGGGAATTTCAGAGAAAAGAGGCCATTGCCCCTCAGGATGGCTTAGAACACAGACAAACTCTACGGGGAAGATAAAGCCCCTCTAAAGGATCTCACAGTGCAAAAGGCCAAGTGAGGAGACCAACCCACGCTTGCATGCCTGCCTGGCCACTGACCAGTCCCATGCCCCTCTGGCCTCCAGCATCTGCCTTGCTGGCCTGACCCAGAGATTGCGGGTATTATCTTGGGGAGCAGGCACCTGGGCCAGGCCTGCCACTGAGGAAGAGGGCAGTGGGTGGGTGGTCCCTGTGTCACTGAGTGACCTGGCTGGGTGTCACAGACCAGAACGGCCCCTCAGGCCCCTGCCTCCCCAGGGACAGCCAGGTGCGGGTGATGGAGGACATGGTGACCAATGCTGAGAAGTCCTTCGGTCAGTTCTGCTCACTGCTGGCCGCCTACACCCGCAAGACAGCCCGGCTGCGTGACAAGGCCGACCAGCTGGTCAAACAGCTCATCAACTTCGCCAATATGGAGAACCCAGAAATGCGGGCCACCCTGAGGAACTTCGCTGAGGACTTGGCCAAAGTGCAAGATTATAGGCAAGCTGAGGTGAGCGGGTAGCTCCGGAGGACCTGCTGCCCAGGGTAGGGTCAGGGGCAGTCTGAGGGTTGACGCAGCCTGGTGGGGTCCACAGTTAGCGGATGCATCTCCTACAAAGACATCCCCAGAGGAGCGCATATCACTCCTTCCAGGGTCAAATCTCAGTTTATAGAACTGAGAGCCTGGAGGCTTGTGCAAGACAAGAAAGATGCAGGGAGTCTGGGAAAGAATTAAAAATGGAAATCTCCATGTGGTGTATATACAATGGAACACTACTCAGCCATTAAAAACACCAATAATGCCAACTGCAATAACACGGATGGACCTAGAGATTATCATACTAAGTGAAATCAGAAAGATAAAGTGTCATAAAATATCACTTCTATATGGAATCTAATATATGACACAAATAAACATCTGTGAACAAGAAACAGACTCACAGATATAGAGGACAGACTTGTGGTTGCCAAGGGGGAGAATGTGGGAGAGGCATGGACTGGGAATTTGGGATTAGCAGATGCAAACTATTACATACAGGATAGACAAACAACAAGGTCCTACTGAATAGCACAGGGAACTATACTCAATATCTTATGATAAACCATAATGGAAAAGAATGTGTAACTGAGTCACTCTGCTGTAGAGCAAAAATTAGCAATATTGTAAATCAATGTTTAGGGATGGACTAGGAGTTTGGGATTAAAAGTAAAATGAAATAAAATAAAAATAATAGTCTCCAGCCAGCCCAAAAAAATCCCCTCTGCTACGGTAGAGAAGACTGAAATAGCTTTTCCACTGAATAAGCATTAAACCAGAAGACAATGCATGTCGCAGGTGATTGGATAAGTGATGGCAAAAACACAGAAACCTCACTCCCCACCAAGCACACTCTCTGGAGATAGGAGATGACTGTCCTCAGGGAGGGGATGCCCTGAAAACAGGGAAGGGGACAGTGCCTCTGTCACAGAGGACTTCCTAATTCCACCTGGTGATTAGGGGGCCAACTGGGCTGGCCAATCATCTTTATCCAAAGAAAACTAAAACCTCTCTCTAACAAGCAGGTAGGTACAGCCTGGAGCCAGGTGCCAGGCAAACTTCCTGGAGAGGCTGTCCTCCTGATGTTTACAGTTCAGAGATGCCTGGCCTAGTTGTAAAACCAGCCAGAGGCTTCTTTAGCTTGTAAAAGGTTTACATCCATCTCAAAGGCACAAATAAAGGTCTACAACTGCAAGTTTTTCCAAAGAAATGCTGTACAGAAAGGGAGGGGAAAATGTTCCTTTCCCTTTTGGCATTTGGGGAAATTATTGGGTTTTTTTTAGATTTGCATTTAGAAGAGCCACAAGCTTTGATGGAGGAGGAGGAAGGGGTTGGGTGGGGGTTCCAGCTCCCCTGGCCCATCTGGCAAGCCAGACTCAGATCTTATTAGGAAGGCAGATTTGGGGGCAATGCCCTGGATCTGCTGAGTCGGAACATCTGGAGAGGGGGTGGCTGGCGATCAGGGTTATAAGAAAAGCCCTTGGAGGGACCCCTACGCCTGATTAGTGTGACATCCACAGGGTAAGCACTTAATCCACACCAGCTTTAACTGGCCTGTTACTATTACCGATAATGTTTATTTAAGTGTCTAGCGTTGGCCTTGCACACAGACACTGACCCAGGGATGTGAAGTGTCCCCCTCGCCAACCCTGCCAGTCCCTGGGGCTTCACAGTGTGGTCCACTCTGGATTCTCTACTAGTTTGTGTTCCAGGTGAATCTGTCAGCCTCCCTGGTGACAACTTAAGGCAGTCTGGAGAAATGAAATGCACTGGGTCCCACCTAGCTGCTAAGAAACCCTGAGTGGGTTCACTCCTTATACCCATTTTACAGGCCAGGAAACGGGGCTCTTCGAGAGGAAATGTGTAACTGTGCTCTTGGGAGGCAGAGCCCAGAGCCCAGACTGGTGCTTAAAACCCCAAGGCTGGGGAATGGCCCAATGTGCAGTCCTGGGTATGCAGTCAGAGCACTATAAATGCAGGCAAGGGACCACACAGCCTGTCAGCATCTCTCTGGCTCCACCTGCTCTGACTGGGTGTGTGTTTATGTGCCCCCAGGTAGAGAGGCTGGAGACCAAGGTCGTCAACCCCCTGAAGTTCTATGGGGTGCAAATAAAGCAGACCCGGGTGAGCAAGGGCATGGCGCTGCGGGGAGGGCCACAGGGAGGGAGACACTGGCTGATCTGGGACCTCAGGAAACCACCCTCCTCCTTCCTTAGGCTGAGATCAAGAAATTCAAAAGTGTCCGGAACAATGAGATCAAACAACTGGAAAAACTGGAGAAACTGAGGCAGAAATCCCCCTCGGATAGACAGACCATCGTATCCGTCCCGAGGCAGGGGCGGGGGTGGGGCAGGGCAGTGTGTCATTGCACCATCTGGGTGGGGGCTGCGTGGGCCACCCCAGGGGACGCTGGTCAACCTGGATCCCTAACAAAACTGTTCTCAGTCTCAGGTGAGCATCACAAATCTGTGTGAGGAAGGCAGGCTCACATGCAGGTAATGAACAGACTCACAAAATGGTAAGGTGAGCTCTACCTGGGCAGGTGTGTGCAGGGCCCTGGGCTCAGGATGGGAGGGTCAGAGGTGTCGGGAAAGCCATCGGTTGGGACTTGGGAGACCTGGGTTCTGTTCCATCAGCAATGCTACTCAGCCAAGTCAAGGAGTCACTCCTCACCACAGCCTGCTTCCTTATTGGGGTCACCTACTTACTGCTTGTGGAAGGCAGGCACTTGTAGATGAGGAAATTGAGAAAGGTGACTTGCCCAAGATCACAGAGAGCTAAGGGGCCAACCCCAACTCAGCTCTGTGTGCTCCTTCACGTGCCAGGCCTGCCATGGAGTCAGGCCATAGAGATTCAATCAAAGCAACCAATAAAGTAATCAACTAAAATCGTTCCACATGTAGGAATTAATTATCAGCAAATGTAGAGTACCTAACAGGTTACAGTTAGAGTAATAGCTCAGCTGCTCCCACTCTTTCATTCTTGGAACAATCCTGCAAAGCAGGCCTTATTCCTGACCCATGTTTGCAAGCAAGTCCATTGAGACTCTGAGAGGTTAAGCCACTTGACTGAGGTCACACAGCTAAGAGGGTCTGTCCAAGTGGCAGCTGCCCCTTTTGCTGTGGTTTTACTTGGCCATTCCTTCAATGACCAAATTGGCAAGAGATGCCCATTACACAGAACAGCTGGCCCAAAAGTAGGGCAAAGGAACAGAGAATGATCCAGAATGGAGTCCCCATGACACTTTCTATCTCTGGGGCCAGGCAGAGACCAGCGTGCAGAGGGCCTCAGTGGATGCCAGCCGCACTTCCCACCAGCTGGAGGAGACAGTGGACACCTTCCAGAAGCAGAAGCTGAAGGACATTCAGGTAGGGGAGGTCGGTCCCCGGTCGGAAGTACTCTGAGCTGTCTCATGTGTGACCTTTGGTGTGTTTGCTCATGTATGTCTGTGTATTTGTGTTTGCACCTGTGTGAGTGCACATGTGTTCTCTGTGACAGTGTGTGTGTGACCTTGTGCCTGCCCAATTCTCAGGCCCCTGACTCCCAGAACAGTAAATCCTGGCTTCATCCTGCCGTGGGCGGTAAGATGCCGGCTGCTTGGGCAGCTGTCCTGCACAGCTGTCTGCCCGGAAGCCAGCACTGGCAGCCCTGTCTCTCACAACCGGCTGGCGCCCTGCCCACCAGGAGAATTGGGCAATCTGTCTATCCCAGGCCCCTGCCTTTCCACACAGGACCCTCAGGGCTCACCCTGACTGCCTCTTCCTCCGTGAAGCCCCAATCACACATAGCCTCCCTCTTTCCACCCAGACCCAACCCAGACAGGCCCAGCACCCCAGCTCTTACCAGAGGCCCCAGGGAGTCAGGGTTTATAAGGGCAAGAAGGTCACAGAGGCCCCTGCACCCACTCTTGATCCCTCCTTTAATCCATTTTCCAAATTGCAGCCCCAGGAATCTCACAAAAGGCAGCTCTGATTTGTCACTGGTGTGGGTTTAACACCCTTCTGTGCTTCCCTTGTTCCAAGAAGAAAAGCTGAAATCCTCCCAAGGTCCGGAAAACCCCAGTCCAGCCCTCCAGCCTCCTCTTGGACACACCACTCCAAGCTCACGTGCACCAAGGCCTTTCATAACTCAGGGAGCCTTTGCACAGGCTGTGTCCTCCTCCTCCGAGCTCTGGCATTACTCTGCATCGAGTCCACACCTCCTTGTCCTTCAGAGAAACTCACCTGGGCCTCAGACCTGGTCCGATCAACTGTTAACACACACTGCTCCGCTCCCTTGGGTCGGGGGTGGGTGCGCAGTTATCCCTGAGGGTGCGTTCATTGTATCTTTAATTCACTGGTGAATCTAACACATGTTGAATACGCACTGACTATGTGCCAGGCGCTATGCCTGAGGCTGGGGACACCACAGCCAGTCAAGAGAGGCCCTGTCCTGACAGGGCTGACACCTTGGGGGAGACAGATCATGCGGAGCCCTTGATGGGGTGGTGGAGAGTCCGGGAGAACTCGCCGCTCCATGCCTGCCTCTCACATACAGGCAGGGGCTCTGTCTGCTACGACCCCTCCTGGGTCCCGGGCACCAGCTCCAGGCCCGGGCACTCAGCGAGTACTCAGTAAACTTTTGGGAAATGAATGAAAGAACGAACGAATGAAGCGAGTGAAACACTGATAATGATTGCTCAAGCATGCATGTTGCAGGCAGAACCTAAAACCACCAGCACGCACCTATTCAACACCTGATGCTACCGAGGCCAGCGCATGCGCACAAGATTCTCCACGGTCAGAGGCCAGCGGAAGCACGCGGGGCGATGCGGGCGTCCTTCAAGTCTGGGGGATTCCATCTGTAAGAGATACTTCCCAGAACCAACACATTTTCAAAGAAATGAAAACCCGAACTGGAAATAATCAATACCGTTCTGTCAGTTTTACGCCACACTTCTAATGCAATATTTACAAATGAACTCTGACGCCGAGAAAAGAACGGAAGCCCTGCTTCCAAGCAGGGTGTTCGCTTACCCAAGCGGGCGTCAGAAATCCCCTGGAGGGCGCCTTAAAATGCTGCCGACGGGCCCGCCTTGGGGTCGCAGCCAGTGGGCCCAGGTGTGCCGGGAATCTGCATCCCTGACAGGTTTCCAGGTGAGGCCGGCGTCGACGAGGCACCCACAGGTAGAGGGCCGCTGCCCTGACTGAATCTCTCACAAGTCTATGTGACTGGGACCACTCCTGTCCCTCCCGTGCTGACGAAGAAACTGAGGTTTGAGAGGGAACGTCATTCCCTCGGGGACACGCGCCAGTGAAGGGCAGAACGAGGCCTCGCCTGACCGCCAGCTCTGCCTCTGGCAGGGCACGAGAGGAGGCGGGAAGCAGGAATTTCCAGCCCCTCTTTACCGCCTCAGGCCTTTCTTCTCCCAGGTGGCTTTGCGGCTCCTGCTGCTCTGCCGCCTTCTCCCAGGTGGCTTTGCGGCTTTCTCTGGTCCGCCTCCCCAAGGTGCTTCCCATGTGACTGGAAGAGGCGTGTTCCCAAACTGCAGGGCTCCTGCCCCAACACCAAGTGTGTGTCCTGATGAGGCTTCCTTCACAGTGGGAGCTTGTACTGAGCACAGCACGTAGGAGGGGCCTGACACACAGTAGGTGCCTCCCCTCGGGTCTGGTGCACAATAGGTGCTTGTGCTGGGTTCACGGCCCAGCAGAAACCCCAACTGGGGCCTGACACACAATGAGACTGTGCTGGACATGACACACAGTGGGAGCCTTCCCTCAGGCCTGGCACATAGTAGGAGCTTATCTGGGCTACTAGATAGAGTAGTAGCTGGAAATAATCAGAGGAGGAGCCCCCACCAGAGCCAGCCACACAGCAGGAGCTCTGTGAGGGTTTACTGAGCCAAGCCAAACCATCTGATCTAAAGAAGCAAAACTCTATCACTAACAACATTTTGACAAACTGGTCCATCAGATTGTGGGGCCAGTGGAGCTGGCAGTGTCTTACCAGCGGCACCCCCTCCCCATCCTGTGAGGCCCACTTCCAGTCTCGGTGATAGAGGCTGAAAGTTTGTAGCTGTCAATTTCCAAACACCAGTCCTTGGAGTGAGAGAAACAAGCACTGAGTGAGGAAGACCAGCTGGACAAGAGCTGAAAAAGTACACCCTTCAGAAAGTTCCCAAGACCTCACACATTTCTGGAACAACCCCTGTGCAATTTTTGAACTATGGGAATGCATTAATGGTTCAAACAAAAATAATTAGAAATAATATATTGAAATTCCCCACCTAGGATCTGCCCCTGGTTGGTCCACATCTGAGGTGAGCCCAGAACAGTCCTTCTGACAGCATTACTTATGTGATCTGGGTTTCTCTCCCCACAGAAAATTTTTTTGGACTTTGTGACCATTGAGATGGTCTTCCATGCCAAAGCAGTGGAGGTGTATTCCAGTGCCTTCCAGACTCTGGAGAGCTATGACCTGGAGAAAGATCTGGAGGTGGGTCACAGACACCCCATCTCCTGTTTATGGGGTGGGGCTGAATTGGGGGTTGTTTTTATCTTTTTTTATTGAGTATAGTTGATTTACAGTGTTGTGCCAATCTCTGCTGTGCAGCAAAGTAACTCAGATTTACACACATATACGTTCTTTTTTAAAAATATTCTTTTCTATTTTGGTTTACCCCAGGAGATTGGATACAGTTCCCAGTGCTATACAGTAGGACCTTGTTGTTTATCTATGCTATATATAATAATTTGCCTCCGCTAACCCCAAACTCCCAGTTCATCCCTCCCCTATCTCACTCTCCCTTGGCAACCAGTCTGATCTCTATGTCTGTGAGTCTGTTTCTGTTTTGTGGATAGGTTCATTTGTGCCATATTTTAGATTCCACAAAGAAGTGATATCATATGGTATTTGTCTTCCTCTTTCTGGTTTACTTCACTTGGTATTATAATCTCTAGTTGCATCCATGTTGCTGCAAATGGCATTATTTAGTTCTTTTGTGGCCGAGTAGTTGGTTTTGTCTTGATAGAATCAGTTTTTCTTGGCAACATTTTGTAATTTCTCAAACTTTGAAGGCTGGTTTTAATGAACTCTTTTAGATATCTGCCCCTGGGCACAGAACCAGAGGTGGAAAATTTCCCCAACACCATCTTTATGGACCATTTGTGAGTATCACCGTCACCCGGGTGTTTAAAAACAAATGAATCAACAACAGCAAAAAGCGTCTCCAGGCTGATGCCTGCTGTACTTTGCATGTAGTCTAAGTGCTTATGGTCCTTATCTGATGTGATTAAGATTTAACATTAGCCTTCTGAGTTATCTACAATGTCCCGCGCCATGCCTCATGGTAAAAGCAGTACAGCGATTATCTTCCATGATTATCTGCTGTGGTTCTAGGGTTGGCGGGTTCAGCTGGGTCGTCGTCACTTGGGTCTTTCAGCCAGTCTGTAGCTGGAGCTTGAGTGGTTTCAAAGGCTTCCTGGCTCACGTGTGGCTGTCATCTGGGTCCAGGACATGATTCACAAAATTCAGGGCAAAATGAAGACACTGGCCCTTTGTTAAGTAATTATTAAGACTTCCAAGATAGCAGAGTTGTTCTGAGCTGGGACCCTTGGAAAAGTGCATGAGCTGAACCCCCACAAGGCCCACCCTGTGTGGTCTGCAGTGGGGTCTGCGCCCAAATAACTGCCCATGCCCCCTCCATGGGGCGTAAGCTTTCTGACATCACGGCGGCTGACCCAAGAGTGAGCATCAGAGACAGAGCCGAGTGGACACTGTGTCACCTTTTGTGACAGGCCTGCCACATTCTGTCTCTTAGAAGTGTGTCACTTAGGCAGTATTCAAGGGGAGGAGAATTATAGTCCAGCTCCTGATGGGAGAAGTCAAAGAATTTGTGGATGAGCTGTAAAACCATCACAGGACGGTCAGTGAAGATTGGCCAGGCTTTGATGCCTTCTCTTATCTCTATTTTGGTGAAGGGGGGAGTGTGATCTTCTTGTGGGACTATGGACTCGTTACCTGGCCTCTCTGGGTCTCAGTTTTCCCATCTGTAAAATGTGATGATAATACCCACTCACCAGTCTGCTGCAGATCATATGGCATAAAGAATAGGCAGCTCCCAGATGGACCTGGTACAGGTGGCAGTCCCAGCAGTTACCTCTGCACCAGCCTTTTGGTTTTGCTGTCTTTCCTTCCTGCTCCCACCACTTTGTTTCCTGACCAGATCCAACTCTCCCGACAGGATTTTAGAGCCAAGATGCACGGAGTTTATGGGCGTTACGATGCTCGGCCACCACTCACGGACACCACCCTGTCCCCAGCTCTCCCATGGTCTCTTGCCCGGGTGAGTACTGGGTGGGGTGTGAAGCCTGTGACAAGGTGAAGTGACCAGAGACCAGAAGCCAGCCGAGAATTTAGATCTGAGAAGGAGGTGCTGCTTGCGGGGTGGGAGGGTGGCCCTGAGTCTGACCTGGACCCACCTGAAGCGAACTCAGGGGACCACAGTGCGGGGACGAGGGGTGTCTCATACTTGCTGAATAATTTTCTCCAATTAGGTGAACACATCTACCTGAAGCACTTAGTAAATAATACTTGTTACCATTCTTATTATTACTGCTATTGTTGCTGTGATGATGATGATTTTATTATTATTGTTACTGTTATTCTTTCTTAGAGTGCTCAGAGCACCATACAGAGCCAGAGAAAGGAAGCAGTGAGTGAGGACGACTCTGCTGAGGAGGACCCCGTGGAGGACCTCAGGGGACAGGCACAGCAGCCCCATCAGTAGGACGAGAACCCCCAGTCAGGAGGTGGGGCTCACACTGGACCCTCACAGGCTCTGTTGTGTGCTTTCTGAGTCCCGGTTTCCTCATCTGTACAACAGGGAACATATCCCTTGGTTCACAGGCTGCCCTGGGGACCAAGGTGCCCAGCAGGTGCTCAGTAAACATGGGTACCTCTCACTCTAACTCATACTGGGTCTCATTTCCTGTTTTATGACCAGGGCTCCAGAGTGTTTAAGCCTGCATTAATGTTGAGAGCTTGGTGTGTTACCGAATCAAACTCAGGTCCATTTGCCTGTGTGCGGTAAAGTCACTTTACTGACACCAGGTTGGGGTGAAGGAAAGTGAAGTGCTTATTGCAGGTGCCAAGCAAAGAGTCCTCGGCAAGTGGTGCTCAAAAGGCCTGAACTCCCCACGGCTTTCAGGGGAGGGTTTTTAAAGACAAAGGGAGGGAGGGGGGCTGTGGTGTGTGTAACCCTGGGACCAGGGACACATCACCGAAGTGAAGGGAGGGTGGGGGTCCACAGACTTGGCCGGCTAACTGCCAGAGCCCTCTGGGTGTGCACATTTGGGGAGAAGATCCCTCACAGTGTGGGGGGCATCTGAGTGCTGGGTCACTCCGGGCTCAGCACACCTCCCACTGCCTCCTAGAGACCTCTACTGGGGAGAGGATGTCCTGCAGCCTCTCAGGAGAGACGCTTGGCTCTGGGGCCGGCTGGCTGCTGATTCAGTTCCCCGTAGGGGTACCATGAGCGCCTCGTCAGCAAAGTGGGAAAAATAAACCTTCCTTATGGGTGTGGAGAAAAGGGAATCCTCCTACACTGTTGGTGGGAATGTAAGCTGGTGCACCCACTGTGGAAAACAGTATGGAGTGCCTCAAAAAACTAGAAGTAGAGCTACCATAAGATCCCACAATCCCACTCCTGGGCATACACCCAAACAAAACTATAATTCAGAAAGATATATGTGGGGACCCCCTGGTGGTAGTGGTTAAGAATCCACGGGACATGGGTTCAATCCCTGGTCTGGGAATATTCCAGATGCCACGGAGCAACTAAGCCTGTGCTCCACAACTATGGAGCTGACGCTCTGGCACCCATGCTCCACAACAGGAGAAGCCCCTGCAGGAAGAAGCCCACACACCGCCATGAAGAGTAGCCTCCCTCACTGCAACTAGAGAAGGGCTGCGCACAGCAACTAAGACCCAGCATCACCAAAAAAAAGAAAAGAACAGAAGATACATGCATCCCTGTTCCTAGCAGGACTGTTCACAATAGTCGAGGAAGCACTCTAAATGTCCATTGACAGAGAAATGGATAAAGATGTGGTACACACATCATCGATTGTTTTATGTATCATCACATTTTACACAGTGGGATATTATTCAGCCATAACAAGGAATGAAATAATGCCATTTATATGGCAATATGCATGGAACTAGAGGTTATCATACCAAGTGAAGTGAAGTCAGACAAAGACAAATATCATATGATATCACACATGTGGGATCTAAAATATGATACAGATGAACTTATTTTATACACATATATATAAAACTGATTTACCTTGCTATATGCCTGAAACACATTGTAAATTAACTATATTTCAATTAAAGTTTAATTAAAAAAAAAACTAAAACCCTCCTCATGTGATCACCACAGGATTAATATTCTCACTACAGTGACTTTTATTACCCAAAATCCAGTTCCAAGATACCTCCTTGGGGAAGCCCACCTTGATTCTACCAGGAAGGACACTCACTCTAAAAATAACCAAAACATTCTGTATTTCCTATATTATATAATTTATAAAATATTATATTAATTGTATATAATACCGCATTTTACACTATATGTGTAAAATACTATCTCATACTTTTATACTCAGTCTGTGTGTGCACATGCACACAGACACACACACACACACACACACAAATGTACCTTTTCTAACCTCAGCTGTCTCAGCCCCACTGAGAGTCCCTGAAGGAAGATGACTTTGCTTGTTCATCTTGTGGTCCTGGAGCCTGGTGGTACCTGGCACATAGTATGAGCTCACTGAAGGTAAGTTGGTGGCATAAGGGGCCTCTCCCCTCCCCTTCTGGCCCCAGCATGCCCGGAAAAGACCAATCGTCCCTAATTCCAGAGTTGGCCATTGGCCAAGATTCATGGGCTCTCTCCTGTGAGAACAAAATCCCTAGCTTCCCTCCTTTGGGCCCAGGAGGTGGGACGAGGAGGGGTGAGCAAGGGCAGAAGGAGCATAGCTTTCAGGTTCTCTTAGAACCGGAAGGAGAAAAAGGTGACCATTTCACAAAACATGCCTGTTGAACTGAGCCTTAAGGGCTGACAAAAGTGTCCTGTTGCTGTCAGGCAGGAGCAGTACCCATAGCCCTTCGGCCCCCAGAGGGAAATAGTGAGGCAGCTGGGACTCAAAGGCAAGACCAGGATGCCAGCTGGAAGGGGGTGGAGGCATCCCGGGGGCCGAGCCTCCTCTATTCACCAACACATGCCCAGCGGCAACACAGTGGACATGCTTCTGCCCATTAGTCTTCCCATGAGACACACACATATCTACATAATACTCAGCTGCTCAGTCTAAGTGGGGAGAACGACTACTTGACCCCAGAAAATAGTGTTTTCTTCTGAAAAGCCACTGCTGTCAGTGAGAAGATTGCAAATTCCATTTTAAAAGGTGCTCATGGGTATGTGAGAACAAAAATTCAACATCAACAGACTGACTTCCTTTTCAGAGATAATTTATTTCAGTTTCCACCTTCTGACAATCTGAGGTGCAATATGTGGACTTTTTTTTTCTTCACAGGAAACAGCTTTGATTTTTAGCGCTGTTTTGAGAGCTCAATCTTTAAACTTTCTCCACCTGAAAACATAGTTTGTAGAACACAACCTCATGAGATATAAGACTGCAAAACTGTACACATAACACACTCGAATCACTGACCCTGATTTCTGGGTCACTAAGGGCGATGTGTGGAAGTGGCCAGTGGGATGTTCGAGTCCAAGACCAACGGGCGAGAGAGAAACAGGGAAAGCACATGGGAGACCCTGCTGCAGCCCCAGAGGCCATGGTTAGGGCCACCAGCTCTCTCACACTTTAAGGGGAAGGGCCTGCCGTCTGAGTGTGAGCATCTCCTTTGGTTGGCTGTCCTTCTCAAGGTGTCCATGGGACTCCAAGCCTCCAGCACAGGGACAGACCAGGGCCCTCATGTGGGCCCGTGCATTGGAACGAAGCCCGCTGAGCACTTCTGTTTCCACAAGCATATCATCCTGGACCAAGGAGAGGACAGACGTAGCCCCCCTAAGGCTCCAAGGGGCATCACCAGCAGGAGCCCTCCTCCGAGCTCAGCATACCACTCAGGAGGGCAATGAGAGACAGCGCCCTGGTCTGGCCCTGCAGGCCAGGCCAGGATGCAGGTCACCCCGCCTGCACAGAGGTCCTGTGAGAAGCGATGGGAACACAGCAAACCCAGACCATTCTGACTGAGAACTCTACAGCAGGAGCGGGGCCCCTTGAATCCTGGGGACACAGCCAGGGGGAGGGTCTCCTCCCCAGCTCTCTGCTCGTCTCAAGCTCAGACTGGCCAGCCGACTTGGGAACACAGGCCGGAGCCAGGCCACCTAGGGACAAGGCAGATGGTGTCTGAGGCGCTTGCTTGGGGAAGGACAGCAGGGAGACACCAGCAGAACAGGCCCAGGGAGCCATGAGGAGCATCTTGACGCTCTTGGCTGGGTACCCCTAGATGGGAACCATCTGGAATGCTCCCCCCATCTGCTATCTGGATAACCCTCACAGCCCTACTCCCAGCCACACGGCCACAGGGAGGTACTGTGGCATGTGGCTTGAGCAAGGCCCGGCTCCAGCCCAGGTCTGAGTGTCACACACCAGCCAATTAGCGGAACTGCCGCCAACACCATTCCCCTGAAGGGGGCCGGGGAGAGGGGAGAGTCAAAAGCTTGTCAAGCAGATCTCACCCTCGAGAGTCATAAAAAGGAATAAACGATTTCCAGGGAGACGGGGCGAGACCTCTGAGTGGTAGGAGCAGCGGCTCAAGGGAACTAAAAGGCTGTGGGTGGGGGAACAAGAACCCTGCAAACCCGTAGCTCTGTCCGTGGCTGAAGAAGTGCGTGGCCAGTGGGGTGACCAGGCTGGGACACCCAGCTGCTGCCCCCTCCCCGAGGCTGCAGCAGGGCCCTTCCCCTTCCTTCCCAATCTCCCCAGTCCTCTGGCAAATGACTCCGCCCCCGGCTGCCCAGTTGTCTCAAGTTGTAGGTAGTTTGGCCACACAGCTTATCTGACCACACACACGGGCCTGCCAGATCCTCCCTAACTAAAAAGCCAACTCTTCAGGGAGCAGTGACACCCAGGAAGGTCAGGCTCAAAGCTGCGGCCCTGACTTCCGGTTGTGGTCACCTGGGTTTGACAAAACCCCTGACAGACTCCTTTGTGGTGTGAACACACCTTTTTCTCACATCAGGAGGCTGGGATACACTGCTCTGGGTGATAAATTAACGCACTTAAAACAGCCTGCAGAAAAACACACCTCAAGGCTGCCACCTTCTCTCCACGGCAGTGGAAGTCACAATCTAACTGGGGAGGGAGAGGTGAGTATGGGCTCCGGGAAGGAGGAAAGAGGTCAGGCAGCATCTCGAACTGCATCCTTGGGGCTCCATCCTTGACCCTCCTAGGTTTCACTGGAGCACAAATCTCAGAAATTGAACTCTCTTTCTAGTCCTCCTTTTGGTAGATTAAGAGCTCCTTGGCCTGGTTGGTTTTGTTTTTTGGCAATAGGAAAATCACGGTCTACTCCATTTCACTGTACAAATAACTTACAGTATCAGAACTTGGTTCTCCTGCCTTTGGTTAAACATGCACACACAGCAGATACAATCTGAATGTTAGCACGCCCCTCTTAAACACCTATCAATATTGCTAGAACTCTAACAAAGGATGAAGACACACAAAGCCACATCTCAACAGAATCCTGTTTGCAAAGCAGGGTACTTTTTACTTGGGAGAATCAGCTGTTTGGGCTCATTACATTCACAGAGCCCTGAAGGGCAGACAGCAGGAGACCCGCCATGTCATTGCTAACGCAGGGCTTTGAAGCTCCGGCTTGGGACCCTGAACCTGCTGGGATGGGAATCTCCTTGTGGATACGACCCGATGCTTCCTGCCCTGAGTCTAAGTTTACAGGAAGTTCCTGGGTTTACAGGAAGGGCCAGCAGAGCGCTTTCTGCAGAGCCTCCCGGGCATGTGGTGGGTGAGACTGCTTCACACACTGGCACCTCTGAGCGCCCGCCTGGGTCTGTCTGCTCTGGCCGGGCCTCACAAGGAAGATCACGTCACAGAGAGGAAGTGTCAGCGAGGCAAGCGGCTGGCTTCTGCTAGGGACGCTGTGCCTCCTCTGGGTGATGCTGGCCAGACACCCTGAGGTGACCTGCTCGGAGAAAGACAGTCACCAAGAGGAGACGGCAGAGCAGCCTCCCAGCCACCTCGACGTCAGCCACTCCATGAGGCCCACAGTCTCTGGTGGTGTCCACTCATGGGGCTCAGCATTTCGGGCAGCAGTTTTGGGGTCAGACTTACTCTCTCAGGAGCTGGATCTATTAATATATGAAGAAGGGCAGGGGAAAAGACCCAAAGCCACCCTTGTTTCTACCTTCAACTGCTATTGCAAGAGACCTATATGGGAAAAACAAAAAAAGGTCTCAGGATCATCCTGAAGTGAAAGTGCTTGGAAAAGCTCGGAGAAGTCAAAGCTGCATTTCCTTCCCAGTTTGTGTGGGTCCTCCCACCCCACCCAGGGGGGAAGAGCCCTCCACTCCCCAGCATCCCTGGAAAGACCCGGAAGCTACTGTCTTCCTCCAGAAATCAGAGTGAATCACACTTCCACACAAATCTTATATATACAAGGATAAGTCTTTTGGGCACCTTAGAATAAAGTGTTAATGCATTTCAACTAACCACTAAGAAAAAACTAAGAAAGCCTATGACACGCAGTGGAGAGATGTCCCTTTGAGGGCCTCAGACAAGCTGCTCACTGGGCATGGTCCTGACTTCAGTGGGTTGTGGGGGCGCAGCACAGAGCATCAGGGGGTTGTTGAACGTCTTAGGAGGGGCAGCATCACCTCTAGCAGGCACTGGAGCAAGGCCTGCACACTCGTGAGCTGGATGTTATTTCTCTGAACTGCATTCAGGAGAGACATATCCGATCACTGGGCCAGTTTCCAGCCAGCGTGGCCTGCCCCCACACAGGACAGGCAAACCAGCCACATGACTGTGCTTTGTTCAGTGATGTGGCCAGAGAGACTGCCAGCATACGCACACACGCACACACACACATGGGTGTGTGTGCCATCATGAACACAGCGGGGCTCCTGGAGCCCAAGCCCCCACCCCGAGTCTCCTGACAGGACATCTCACACCAATACACTCAGGTCCTGTGTGTTTCCCATCGCCTCTCTTATGATCACCAGGACGTGCGTTCCTCAGCTCAACCAACACTTGCTCTTCTCTGGAACATTCCAGGGAGGCATCCCCCATTAGGGAACCTGTGAAGTTCCGCCTGGAGGGCTGAGTCTCGGACGTGTTTGTCATGCTGCAGGAGATGGAGTGGCAACACAGGATGGATGGCCAGGGCAGGAAGGACAGAGCCCCACTGGCCTCACAAGGCCAGCGCCCTGGAGCCAGGCTGGCCAGGGCAGCCAGCATGCTGGAGGCTTGCCGCCAGATCGCAGTCCCTTGGGCTAGGCAGCTGTGCCTGGACAGACCTGCGGGGAGGACCCCTGGCTCCCAGCACCCGAGACGGCGAGGGGGGTGTCCGCAGAGTCCTTGGGAAAGCGGCCTGAGGGCTCGGGCAGCGGGCGGTGCAGGCTTCCCAGGCGGCCGGGGTGGAGGGCCTGACCCTGCAAACTGCACAGTCCTCACCAGAAGCCACCTGGGCCACGATGCCTGTAACACTGACACAGATTTTTCTGTCTTTTAAAAATAAAGCGCAGCACTGTTTGCTTTTAGAAAGGGCAGATGTCTTGAAGCTGCTGAAGAAAATTCTCTTTTCTGGGCTTCATCATGGAACAGACGGCCCTAGGGAGCAAGTGGTGGAAGTCTCTCTGTCCCAGAGGGAAGTGGTCAGCTGACCGGGAACATCTCAGACACTTCACACAGACACCTGAGGGCCGCGTGGGTCCAACACAGCTACTCGGAGCCGTGACGTCCCCGGGCGCCCCCACCCCTGACTGTGGCTGGGCATTCTGCAGCCAAGAAAGCCATCCACTGCCTCGATCTCTCTCTCGCCCTGAAATAGAGGGTGTCTCTCTCCTCTGGGAGCTTCTGTCACACGGAGAGGGGACCCAGTACCAGCCGGGCTGACACTCAAGAGGCCACCCCCGCTCTGCTTGGCTGTGGGAGAAACCCAGTCCCACCCTGCGGGGAGGGGCCCAGATCCTCACTCCCATCTGCCCCATGTCACTGGCATGGGGCTGACATGTGCCAGCTCACAGCTGCCCTTCCCTACCTTCCCACACGCCCCATCTTCTCAGCAGGAGGCTGTGATGGACACGTGCCCGCCCTAGACCCAGCATCCTTCCTCCTGTGCCCCCTCGGTCCCATGTCGCAGGCCTGCCACTTGGGGGTATGGACAGTCACCTCGGTTTTAGCAGTGTAATCCCAGGGGCACTTTGGCACGCAGGTGGGGGGCAGACACAGGCAGAGGGAGGCGGGGAGGATGGGCAACCAGATTCTTCTAACCGCTAGTTCTAGGGCGGCGTGGGTGCTGCCGATGTCATGCAGGGGGGGTGAGAGCCAGCTGCAGTCCTCCTGGGGGAGTCTTGGGCCACCTCCCGTAGCCTACTCGGCAGCCATCTGCTCGATGTGGTCACTCAGTAGCTTGTACTGCTCTGCAAGAGAGAGCAACGTTATTCCTTATGAGGGAGAGGGAGGCGCAGGCAGGCAGGGTCTTCTCACAGGCACGGTGACGGCGAGCTTCCGCAGGTGTGCCTGCGGCCTGGAGGTGGGCTCCTGGGAACCAGGCTGCACCTTCCCACAGAAATGACGCTACAGAGGGCAGGCTGGCAGGGCCCAGCAGCCTTGTGTGGGGAGAGGAACGTGTCACAGGAGCCAGGCTTGGGTCCTGGGGGCCGAGCAGGGGCCATGTGGTGAGGGGATGGTGCTCTGCCCTGTGCTGGGCGACAGGGCCGGTGACAGCACTGTGAGGCTGTCCAGGGCACCTCCTGAGGCCGCCTGTCCTTGGCCCTCTTTGACTTGGTGCAGGGCGGAGTTTTAGACAATACTGGTCTAGCCAAATACATGTCTAAGTGGAAGGCTTTTGGGGGGACAAGGAGGAGGCATCCCCATCATGTGGGATGATGCAGAAAGGCTAGCTGTTTGTTATGGAAGTTGACATCAGCAATATATCTCCTTTCATTACAGAAGTCAGAGATTCTAGAAAAACCAACCTCAGGACCCCTGCCCCTCCCCGCCCCCAAACCTCCCAGTCACCCCCCCGCAAGTCCTACCTAGCAGAACTGGGTTTCCAAATGGAAGGAAAAGTGTCCCATGCACTTAGGCAGGCAGGAACATTTAATGTCCCATTTTGAAGTAAAGTAGGGGTAATTCTTTGATTGGGATGGGGATCCCACATGCAGCCCACTTGCTCCCAAACCCCCAGCCCCGCCGGCCTGGCTAGCACTCACCCTCGTCCAGGTTGCCGATCACCGCCTGCTTCTTCAGAAAGTCATTGCACAGCTTCTTGTTCAGCCCGAATGCCAGCATGTTGTGCGTGAACGTGCTGGGGGGACACGGCCGTGAGCTGGCATCCCTCCCACCTCCCGGGGGGTGGGCTGGGGGGAAGGGAGCCGGGGCCCAACAGGCAGCCTGCCAGGAATCATTAGAAAGAAGTAAAAACCAAATTGCCTCCTCAGCCAGCCAGCTTTGCTCACCGTGAAACGGTGTGGAGGCCAAATGGAGTGACTCGTGTGCCTCTGAGACATTTAAGAACTCACGGTGGTAACAACCCTGAGTCAGGGGCGTGTGACATCATACGGGTGGCACTCCCCCAGTGGAGCCCCCACAAGGAGCATCTTTCCTGGCCCTTCCTCACTGAGTCTGGGCCTCGGTGTCAGCACCTGGCCCTGCCTGCCACGCTTTCTCGTCCCGGGGTGCCCCGGGGTGGCGGCACTTACCCCAGCTGCCCGAAGGTGATGTTCTCGTTGAACCGCAGGCTGTCATCCCGCTCCTCCTGGGTCATGTGGCACCACCTCTCCCTGCAAGCACAGGAGGGGCAGCGGGGGGCTTCAGGCCCGCGTCCCCGCCGCTCGACCCTCCCCTGCTCTGACCTACAGGTGCTGGCTTCCCTGACACAGAGGGGACTCCTGGGCCGAAGAGCTGTTGGCACTGCTTCTAAGAAGCCTACCCAAAGGCGGGGGAGCGAGACACACACACTCATCAACTTGTCCTGGCAGATATGAGACCCAGGGCCCCAAGACAGTGTGCACTTAGCGGTTGCCTAGAACATTTGCTAGGAGATGAGAATCCTGTCCCCCACCTTTTCTAAGGTTCAAGGACAAAGGAGGCCACAGCTCCTGTTACAGGCAGGGACAACTGCAGAGGGCAGGGCCCCACCAGTGTCTGACAAAAGTGGGAGTCAAGAACCCAGCACGGAGGAGGCCCTGGGGCTCCCCGCCCACTGTCTCCAGGCCTCGGGCTCTCCGGCAGGGTCCGCAGCCTCTGACCACATGCTGCCTGCCTGGCTGGCCCAGCTCTGCCACTCACCCTGCTCTTGGCTTCTTCCCGGCCAAGGCCCGCCCTACATGGCCGCCCCAGGGCCAGTGACTGCTACCCTGTGACCACAGTGAAGATGGAGTGAAGCCTCTACGTAGAGATGGGAAACCCTGCGAGGAGGGACCACGGCCCGTGCGGCTCCTGGGCTGGGTGTTCTCCGTGCAGGAGCGTGGTGTCAGGGCTCAGGCTCTTCTGAGCCTAAGGAGCTGTGTCCTCGAGTAAGAGCCCAACCCACCCGATCCCTCAGGGCATCAGCCCCTTCCCTTCTAGCAGAGCACCGCTATTCTCAGTGGCCCGGGGAAGTCAGCCCTCAACCACCCCACCCCCGTCCCCCCAGGCATGACAGCCACATGGCCACCTGGGAAATGAGTAGATGCCTACTTCCCCTGAAGAATTACACTCTGGACAAGGAGTCTGATTAAAACAGCGTTGAGAGAAAAAAGATAAAAGGGAGAGAAGAGGGAGTATGAGGGGGGTCAGGGTGATGGAGAAGCCAAAGGAAGAGGAACAGAACCAAGAACATCAACTCTCGACTCCTCTCCACTGTTCAGGCCGAGGGAGCCCACTCGTGCTGCTGCAGCTGAGTGGGAACCACAGGACACCAAGGCGCATCAGAGGCAGGAGGAGGTGTCACTCCAGTCTCCTCATGCTAGCAGAACATCCACGAAGATACCTGGAAGGTGCTTCCAGGTACTATGATAATCCCATTCCACGCTCCTTCCCATCCCCTTTCCCCTGGTGGACACCCTCGGGACTGTCCAGGCATTAAATCCCCAAACCACCACCAGGCTCGCTGGGTACAGTTGCACAGGTTGTGCACTGCACAACCCCATCCCATGTGGAAGTGGCTCCTTGCCGCTGTGCAGCACAGTAGTCCTGACAGTAGCTGCAGAGGTGACTTTTTTTGCTGTGGTGAGGATTAGAGTTGGGACATTTAATCTGATTTCTGATGAAATAGGCAGGAGGTCCATCAGGGATTGCCTACAATCAAATCAATGCTTCAAAACTGAGTCCAACGCCCAGTACTGGTGGAAGTCTAATACCACAAGAGGGTAGGTCATGTGTCTAAGATGCCACAGTGAGAATCTGGATGTGACGAGCAGGTTACAGAACAGGAAGCCTCCTGAGAACAGAGAGGATCCTGACAGTGTTGCCAGCTGACTTTGCCAGAGAGAAATCATGCTGGAGACACAAGGTTGCCCAAGGACCCAGAGCCAAGCTCTGGTCCCCCAATCTCAGGGTGTCCGGGGGGCAGGTCTGGGAGATGCATGGCCAGACCACACCAGCCCTGGATAAGGAGGCCTGTCAGGCCCAGAGATTCACTTGCCCTCACAAGGTCCAGAGGCCATGATGCTCTGGCCCTCTCAGGCCTGGGCCACGGTGCTAGGAAGCCTTACTCTGGGAAGGCTGGTTAATCACCCTATACTCTAGAGAGACTGTGGGAACTCGGGGGCTTTTTATGAACGGAGGTAGCTGCTGTGCTTAAGTGCTCCTTTTAAAGCCATAATAAGGCTGCATTAAAAAAAAAGAGAGACAAGATTTCACATAGAACAATAAGCACTAAAAATACATCACCGATTAAAGGAAACATGCTTTGGGAAATTTCCACCAAATTTAAAAAAAGCACTGTATCAGAAATTATATTTTGAATAGGCAGGCCTTTAACTCTAAAAATATCTTAGGAAGAACTCTAACACATATCAAGTTCAAACAAAGTCAGAGCCCATTGTAGGCTCGCAGGAAACAGCTGGTCCTAGACATCTGCCTTCAGGGGCCCCTTGATAGGCACAGGCCCCACATCACTCAGTGGCCGGGGGGCATGGGGCAGCTGTCCTTTCTCTGGGACCCTCAGACTCATCCGAGTGGGTGAGGGTCTGCCAGAGCCCGCATGCCTCTGGACATGACTATAGAGACAGTCCTCTGTCTGCACTGGCAGCTCCAGCCAGGATCAATGACCAAGTGGGCGACAAGTGACCCTGAGGGTGTGGTTTCGGGGTCTGCTCGGAGGGCCAGAGTGGCTCGTGGAGGCTGGCTCACTCACAGTCAGAGCTGACCTTCTAGACCTCACTGTCCCCTCCTCTCGGGACACACACCAGGCCTTGCAGGGTTCCTGGAGGGCTTTGTCTGCCTCCTGGCCATTTCGAGGTCTCTATCGTGGGCGAGCTCCCCACCATCACCAGCCTGTCCCAACGCTGGGCCCGCAAACTGCGAGTCCCACCTGCACCTGGGTGCCCTCCCCCAGCAGCCCTGGAAGGGCCCCCGCACTGTCCAGGGACAGGCATGTGGACACACACCTCTTCTTCTCCTCCTCTCCAGCATCCCCTCTGGAGCGGCAGCAGAAACAGGTAAACAGAGGAACATGTCAAACTCATGCAAGATATGTGGATGGAAAAAGAGAGCAAGCGCGGAAGGAGGGTTATCACAGCAGAGACAGAGATGGAGACGGGGTTCCGGGTGGGTGGGGGGCACTGGTCGAGGAGTCGGAGAGCAAAGCAACACGAGATCCCCCTCGCCTACAGGCATTTCCTGCATCTGCCTCTCCCAGCAGAGCAGAGAATTCTGTTTAGGATCCTAAGGAACGGTTCGGGACCTCTCTCCCCACGTGCTCCCCTGCCTCCCAGGACACACAGCCGCAGCAGGCCATCCCGCCCCCACGGGGGTTTACTGACTCTCCCCCGAAAAGAAAGATTTCACTTAAGATCTCCCAAGTGCCAGTGGACTGAAGTCTTAACCAGCAGGCTCTGCCCTCTCTCCTGCCAGGAGAAAGGTTCTGAGGTCTCCCCAGTGTTAAGAGAAGGGGGTTCATCTCATTAACGAGAAGAGATGCGGAGACTTCAAAGTCCCATGACTGGAGGGGCCAATAAAGTGACCCAGGCCTGGGAGGCTGCTGCCCCCTCCCCGCCCCACTGCTGCATAGAGAAGGCACCAACCTTGGCTTGCTGAGCCCCAGTGCACACTACTCGCTGCTGATGGTTTACAAAGGGGGGTCTCCAAAGGGGCCCCAGTGAAGCTGCAGCCCAGAGGAGGCAGCTGAAAGTAGCGACTGCCTTCCCCACATGTGAATCCTGCACCCAGGGTCCCAGCTTAGGAGCTGGGTTCTTACAGAGACAGTCAGAGTGGGTCCGAGGGGGCCCCAGGAGCTTCGTTCAGTGGGAGTTCGCATTTCTGAGGAGGGTCAGGCCAAGTCATGCCAGAGCCCCAGGGGGGAGAAGCGCTCATGCAAGCTGGGCCCCCCACCCAGAAGCTGTGCGCCCAGGACCCTTCAGGCAGCTTGCAGGGCACCGGAGCCAGAAGGGTTCGAGGAAGAAACACAAGACGCGAGGACTCAGCTGTTCCGTCCTTCTGCTCTCCTCTTCAGAAACGGGACAAAAAAGCCTCTCCCTGGTCCTCTTCCCCGAGGCAAAGCAGGCCTGGACTTGGCTCCTACCTGGTCGTGGGAGACCGCTTTCTCCTCTCACAGTGGACGGCATCAAAAAAAGCTGCATTCCAGAACCTCAGCGTGTGCCTGCAAGACAGACAAGATGGGGACAAGTGGGTCTCAGGCACATGTTCTTGTTTAGATGCTAAGTCATGTCCGACTCTTTGCAACCATGGACTGCACACGCCAGGTTCCTCTGTCCTCGACTATCCCCTGGAGTTTGCTCACGTTCATGTCCACTGAGTCACTCATGCTTTCTAACCATCTCATCCTCTGTCACCCCTTCTCCTTCTGCCTTCAGTCTTTCCCAGCATCAGGGTCTTTTCCAATGAGTCAGCTCTTTGCATCAGGTGGCCAAAGTATTGGAGATTCAGCTTCAGCATCAGTCCTCCCAATGAATATTCAAGGTTGATTTTCTTTAGGATTGACTGGTTTGATCTTGCAGTCTGAGGGACTCTTAAGAGTCTTCTCCAACACCACAGTACAAAAGCATCAGTTCTTCAGTGATCAGCCTTCTTTATGGTCCAACTCTCACATCCATACATGACTACTGGAAAATATGGTTTTTCCAGTATATGAACCTTTGTCAGTGAATCGATGTCTCAGCTTTTTAACATGCTATCTAGGTTTGTCATAGCCTTCCTTCCAAGGAACAAGTGACTTTTACTTTCATGGCTGCAGTTACCATCTGCTGTGATTTTGGAGCCCAAGAAAATAAAATCTGTCACTGTTTCCATTTTTTCCCCTTCTATTAGCCATGAAGTGATGGGACTGGATGCCATGTTCTTAGGCTTTTTAATGTTGAGTTTTAAACTAGCATTTTCACTCTCCTCTTTCACCCTCATCAAGAGGCTCTTTAGTCTCCACTTTAGTTCCACATGGGCCATAAAGGCCTATGTGCCTTTACCCTCAATGGAGCTGGTTCCCTGGGCCTCGGCAGTGTGTCCTGGGGTCATATGCATGTCTCCCAGGACCTATAACCTGGACTCAACAGGTCAAAGGTGGAACCACCACCTGTAGGACAAGGACGAAGCCACTTCCCCTTCTTGGTCTCCCGCTGAGGCTCCCAACAGGAAGCAGAGGCCTCAAGGAGACCTGCTTTTCTAGAGCACCATCTCTTAAGAGAAGCGGGAACCTGGCAGGGACAGGCTATGTGCAGAGAGCAGACTCGTTTACAGGGTCGCACAAGACAGAACCGTTCTTCCCAAAGATCAGAGTCGGCAAACCTATGGCACATGGGCCAAACCTAGGACCCTGTGTCTTTGTGTAAATCAAGTTTTAAGGGCTCACAGCCACGCTCACCCACTTACATCCTGTCCATGGCAGCTTTGGCATTACAGAGGCAGAGAGGAGTGCTTGCCCACAAAGCCTAAACTATTTATCACCCAACCCTCTACAGACAAGTGTGCTGAGCCCTGAAGCGGAAGATAAGACAGCAGCCCAGCTGAGCCCAAAGGGGCCCGAGTTAAATCATGGACGTGGGCCCCGGACTGGTGGGCTTCTCCTCTCTGCTGCCACCCGAGCCTGGCCTTGCAGGCCGGGGCTGCGGGCTTCCGGATGGCAGCAGCCCAGCTCTGGCCAGCCACACATCTCCCACGCCCTGTCCTGTTGTGCCAAGCTCTCATGCTGTGAGACTGTGATCCTCACGGGAGGGAGGCGTCTGACACCCTCTGGGTTCCAGGTGCTAATCTGCTGCCGACTTGTGAGTAAATAAAATAAAACACGTGGATGGAGAGGCTTTGGAGGGACGAGGGTGTGCTCACAGCAGAAGGTGGGATGTCCCCTGAACACGGGTCTCCCACTCCAATGGTCTTCGTGTGTGTATGGTGTTTATATACGTAAAAGAGCTGAACTAGGACATAATTCACATACCAGAAAACCCACGCTTTTAAAGTCTACAACTCAGTGGGTTGGGTTCTGGTATATTCATGGACTTATGCAACTATTACCACTATCTCTTTCTCGGACATTTTCATCATCTCATTCCCCGCTTCCTCCAGATCCTGGCAACCACAATCCGCTTGGTCTCCAGGGCTTTGCCTCCTGGACACTTTATGTAAATACACTGCATGGTCCTTTGGGTCTGGCTTTGGTCATTTGGCAGAATGTTTTCCAGGTCCACCCACGCTGTGGGTGCCCCATTCCTTTACATGGCTGAGTAACAGCCCACGCTTTGTGCATCTGAATGGACAGACATCAAGTTGTTCCCACCTCTGGGCTCTTCTGAACAGTGCTATCATGAATGTATGTGCACAGATTTTTGCCTGAGTACCTGTTTTCAATTCTTTTGAGCATCTACTCAGGAGTAGAATTGCTGGGTCATTGGATAAAACTCTGTTTAACCTCTGAGGAACTGCCAGGTCATCTTTCACAGTGGCTGCTGCCTCGGACAGTCCCACCAGCAGTGTGTGAGGTTGTAATTTCCCCGCATCCCCGCCAACACTCGCTATTGTCATTTCTGATGGGGACGTGGGCACTGGCACTGCTGCCCCCCAGGTGGAGGGTGGTCTTACCAGATGGGCTGCTGCTTCAGGTGTGTGTACAGATAGATCTTCTCTCCTTTCCTCTCCTCCTCCAGGCTGCACACAGTCACTGTGGGATGGGGAGAGAGACTTGAGCAGGGCAAATCCCCCAACAGCCCTCCCGGCAGGCCCCACGTCCCCCCAGAGTAACACAGACATGCAGTGGAAATCCCAGGGCACCTGCTCCGAGGCCCACATCATTAACGACATGCTCAGGCCCGGCCTGAGGACTCAGTCCAGGGAGGGTCCCAGGAATGGCTCCCCTACCCCAGGAAATGTTCCTTGACATCCCTGGGATGAGGAGCTGGTCACCAGAGAAGTGGCTTTTCCATGGAAATTCAGTAAGAGATTACAGACTGGAGCGGAGAGCAACTAGGGAATCGTGCAGGACAGTGTCTACTGCTATGGGGAGCTGGAGCCCCAGATGTGTGGGGACCTGCCTGGGGGGTTGCTGGTTCGCTGTGGGCTGAGCTAAGGCCCCAAGGGGCTGCAGTGCTGCCAACCGGGCTCCCACAGCCCTGGGGCCCAGGGAGGCACTCACCCGTCTTCCGCGGCTTCTCCTGGGGTCTGCCCTCTTCCTCCCTTGGGGAGAGAAACCACAGAAGTGACAAAACAACCCCCCGCCCCCAGTTTCCCAAAGAACCCTTCAACATTGCTTAAACAGGATTATGTCTCATAACCCATGTGTACATTTAGGTGGTTTTCTGAAAGCATGTGCATGAAATCAATGCTACATTTACCAATCGCCAGTCTTTTAGAGCTGAGATGTGGAAAACTCTGGAGGGTGGGGAAGCAGCCGCGCTTCCCAGAGTGGCTCTAAGGCCCCAGCGACAGCCAAGGAGGCTTAGATGCTTTGGTCACCCGGCCAGGGAGCAGCCTCCCGGTCACACCCATGGTCAGGGAGGGGCGCACACGGGCAGGGCACACTCACTCGCTCCTCCTGGCTGGGGGCCCCTTGGGCTTGGTCTCCAGCCCAAAGAAGCCCTTGACGTTCTCCGTCTTGGCCGACGTGTTCTTCAGCAGCCGTTCGGCAATGTCCTTCTTTTCCGCCAACCAGCTGTTGGCTGACTTCAGGTAGGAGTCGATGCTCCCAGCCGGCTTCTCCTTGGACTCTGCGGGGAGCAGGTGCGGCTTACCTGGCGGTGGGAGAGCGGGGATGAGAACGACTGGAACCACGGAGGCCGGGGTCACCTCCCCTGCCACTGCTGGACATGCTGACGGGAAATGGGGGGTTCAGGGACGCCCGCATGCAGACACAGGGCCTGGGCCCTGCTGTCTCGGGCGGACCCTACGCACCCCGTGTCCAGGCCAGCCAGGCGCCACCAGGGACGGAGGAGGACACAGGCAGGGACCCAGCCCCCAAGAGGCACTAAGGCCAGAAGGCGGGTGAGCACGCACATAGGTAAGGGCAGCACACACTGTGTGCTGAGTGGCACCCGGGCCGGGCCTGAAACAGGAGAGTGTTGGGCTTGGGAGACGGTGGAGGAGGGCAGCCAGGAGAAAGGAGGAATGTCCCTCCCCAAGACCGTGTACCGACCAAGGTCCAGGCAGCCCCGCAGGCCCAGGTTGCTCTCTCAGGTCAAAGGGCCCCAAGCTGAGGAGTCAGGCCATAGATACAGCAGCACAGAGGGGTGGGGAGAGGGTGGGCTGTGCACAGCTGGTGAGGGGAGGATGGAGTCGAGACGCAGAGGAAGGGGATGCGAGAGTGAACCCACGGTGCCAGCGCTGCCCTGACCCAGCTCCAGCCCCTGGGCAGGCCCCCAGAAGCCCTCTCCTTGAGGAGGCCTGAACAAGTGTCTGTGGTCGCAGCTCAAGGAGCTTAACAGGGGAGCCCTCCAGCTGCAATGCACGGGAGGCCCTAGGGCCACAAGCCAGCACAGGTCAACCTGCCCTCTGCTCAGAGACAGCTCCAGACCACAGTCCCAGGCTGCTCCTCTTCACCCTTGCCCTCAGCTGACCCTGCGTTCACGTTCACCCAGAACATGAAACCTGCACATCCTCACACCAGCCATCCTGGCATCCACCCTGAAACATCCTGCCCCATGTGTCCACTTTCTCGTTTCCTCACAGCCGGACCCTCAGCCTCCCGACCCATGCTGTGGACCCTTCTTCTCCTTCTGTTCTAGGAGTCTCCCTCTTCCTCATCCCCACCCTAATACCAGCTCCCTTTGTTTTCTGGATGCCTCGCAGCTTTGCCTTAAGAAATCCCCACTTGGGGACTTCCCTGGAGTTCCAGTGATAAAAATTCTGTGCTTCCACTGCAGGGGCTGTGGGTTCGATCCCTGGTCAGGGAAGTAAGATCTCACATGCTACGCAGTGCAGCCAAAAAGTAAAAACTAAGTAAAAAAGAAAGCTCCACTCAATGGGCATTGGACGGTGAGGATCCGCCCTCCCCGTGAGCGTGCCAGGGCCTCACCGATGTGGTAGTAGGTGAAGCACATGGTCATGAGGTTCTTGGCAGGCCCGAAGTCGTCCATCTGGTGACACCTGAAATGGGAAGAGTGGTGAATGGCTGATGGGTCCCTCCACCTGATTCCCTCTGCACATTCCTGAGAGGACCAACATACTCACAGACACGTCTAACTGTTACCTCACCCACCTGATGCTCTGGAGGAGAAGCCACAGAAAGAGCTCCCCGGGTCCAGGGACACGGCCTGGGAGAAGGTCTGATTCCAGGTGGGAAGGCCCTCGCCATCCATCTACCTGACCTCTTTCACTGTCAAGGTGGGACAGCCAGGGCCCAGGAAGCTTGACCCCGCCCCAAGGGGCAGCCCCAGAACTGGAGGTCGGGCCTCAGATCTTAGGCCTAAACCTGCGTCTGGCCCTACTTCTCGGGAAGGAGCATGGGCTTGGGTGATACGCAGACGTGGGCAGTACCAGGGTCACCTGGAGAGTGTGTTAAGATGTGGATTGCTGGGTCCACCCTGGAGTCTCTGGGTCAGTAGGTCTCAGGCAGGGCCCGAGAACATGCCTTTCTAACAAAGTGCCTTGGGAAGCTAATGTTCTGAGGGTCCTGGCCCAGAGACAGCACTTTGAGAATGACTGGGAATATGAATGTCTACCTACCCTACACCACTTGCTGAAAATCAAAGTAATCGATTACATACCAGAATCTGCACTAGGCGAGAAGATGTCCTACAGATGCAAAGGACTGTACTTACTATATTGAGAGTATGAGATACACATGTATCCATTCAACGTAGCAAACAAAAAAAGGGGAAAAAACTTCAAAAACAGGACCTGCCTGGCCCTGGGACTCTGTAGCTGCAGAGCTATAATGATGTCCACTGCTGCTGCTGCTGCTGCTGAGTCACTTCAGTCGTGTCCGACTCTGTGCGACCCCATAGACGGCAGCCCACCAGGCTCCCCCGTCCCTGAGATTCTCCAGACAAGAACACTGGAGAGGGTTGCCATTTCCTCTTCCAATGCATGAAAGTAAAAAGTGAAAGTGAAGTTGCTGAGTCGTGTCCGACTCTTCACGACCCCATGGACTGCAGCCTACCAGGCTCCTCCGTCCGTGGAATTTTCTAGGCAAGAGTATTGGAGTGGGGTGCCATTGCCTTCTCCGGATGTCCATTGCAGTACCATGAATTAGAGAAGAAAAGGAGGAATCAGCTAAAGCCCGTTAACAGGGCAGGTGCTGAGTAAATCATGGTATAGTCATGCATTCATATATCAGAACACCTCACAGCCATGACAGATGCACCACTGAATGCAAACGCATGGGACTGCCTTTTTAGAAGAAGTATGCCCTTGCTGGTGCGTGCGTTTTTAGGAGTGGGGTTGTCACTGGGAGACGGACTAGAAGTGAGAGAAGCTTTCCTTTTCCTCTTAGGCTTCTGTGCTTTCCATTCTGTCCCCTCATGCACTTTCTTTCCTGTTTAGTTTTTCACCTCAGATAAGTATTACTTCAAAAATGAAGATCAACAGACATTATCTAAACAGTGGAATGAGGGCCACTCTATCATTTAATATAAAAATAATCCAATAAATCTAAAAAGCTACATTTCTATAAAAATTTTTTGCAACCATAAAAAAACATATACGCTCACAAACAAAGTCATGGAAGGAGTCTGTGTTTAAAATTTAACTCCCCCAACCACCCAGTGTACTTATTTAAGGAATAATTGAAAGAAAAATGGAGAATTAGATAGGCATGTTACCATATGGGGCATACCATATGTGACACCATCTAGAAAAAGTATACATTCATGAAAGTTCCTATAGATACAAATGTCTGGAGGTCAAAGTGTCCTCAGGGCGGGAGAGTGTGCTGACCCCCGACCTCCTGGGGCTGCTCTGTGCAGCTCCCGATGCACCCCTGGAGAATGTTGGCCCTCGGTTCTCTCCACAAGGCCTCTCCGCCCAGGCCAGCTCCCAGATCTGGATTCCTCCTGAGCACACCCGTAACTTGGCATGTTCTGAGCAAGTGTAAGAAAAACAGGGGCTCCTTGCTTTTGGCAATTTTCCTCCAGTCCATGCCCTGTGTTCATGGGAACAGAAAAAGGTGGGGAGACACAGGAAAGTGGCCACAGCCTAAGCCACAGACCAGCCACAGACCTGCTCCGAGGCCACGCTGAGTTGATGGGGGCAAGTGGGCTTAAATGATGACCAGATCAGAGTCAGGGCTTCCCTCTGCCCCTGGTTTCCCATGCACCCACCCCATGATTAAAGTCACTGCTTAGTTACCCCCAGGCAGATACAGCTCCTCCGGTTCACACTGTGGGGGCATGTCCAACTCTGATGCAAGTCAGGGCGTCTGAAGCAGGTCGGGAGTCTTAGAGCCCCAGACCTCAGGAGCAGGAGCCCCATGACTCATCCGCCAGCCTCCACGGCCACACATTGACAGTGGGCTTCCTCCCCAGCCCACATGGTCCAGGACGCCCTCTGAGACAAAAGGCCCCAGCAGTGCCTCACTAGGAGTCTGGGCAGGTGACATCATCCAGCCATCTCATTAGTGGGCGGTGTGGTACATGGACTACAGGAAGTCCAGAGAACCCTAATCTGGGCTGGAAGAGGGCAGGGCAGGCCGTGGAATCACAGCCTGTCTCCAAACAGGCAGGGGGGACTGACTCATGCCCAGCTGTGGCCCTCTCCTCTCATGGGACCCTGCACTCTCCCGTGAGATGCTGGTCACGACTCCCAGCAGATGCAGGGGGGCGTCAGAGCAGTCAAGCTGATGACGCGTGTGTGCGGAGAGACCACAGCTGGGGTCTCTCGGGGGGGCGGGGAGGAAAGATGAGCAGTTAGGACGGAGGCGCTGAGCCGCAGCATCACTTACTCAAACAGGACCACCGCGAAGGACTGCACCAGGCGGTAGAAGGTGGGCTCCGAGACGCACTTGGAGTTGCAGCGCTATCCAGGAAGAGGGCAGGTGGTCAGGTAGCCGCTGGCAGAGCTGTGCTCGGCTCAGAGGGGCTGCAGGCTCACCACAGCGTCTCCAAGTGCCAAGCATCTCTACACACAGCCCCGCGCAGGCCCAGCATGAGCCCTGCTCCACAGAAACCTGGACTCAGCAGAGGGCTGCCCTCCCCCCAGACCGCCCCACATCATTCCCTGTGTCTCTCTGTGAGATTTTAAAAGCTAGGAACTTCACCCACTCACCCACCGATGGG